ATAAAACTTTTGATAGATAGCTTGATATCGTTTGTTGGGAGTGTGAGGATGTCTATCTCAGTTTTCTTCGTGGCAAACTTTGCTGCCTGGTCAGAAATTTCGTTCCCTATTATCCCAAAATGACCAACAAAAAAACAAAACAAATTATAACAACGCAATAATAAATTATGGATTTGCTGTTGGATGATCATTGTCCAAGTGGTCACAAGAAGAGAAGCATTCGAGCCAGCTTTTTGAAGCATTGCAGATCATTGCTTCCTTTAATGTCATCGATTCAGCGAACACACGTGCTTCCAAGAGCGCATATTTTTGTGCAGTACAAGCGCTAAACAAACAGTCTATTCGTAGACTCCGCGCGGCACTCTGGCAGTAGAAGGCACCCTACATTACCATTTTGGGAGGGACAATCAATGTATGTGAAGTTATAGCCGGGATACATGGATTTCGTCTACTGAAATTCCACCAGAAATGTGCAGGACGAGATGAGGATTGGGGAAAATGCGACAATCTCATGTCCATTTCAGCCCGGAGAAGCTTCCAAGGGAGAATAAGACTTCGGGTGGGTGTGGGGGGAGGTTCACAGGGACGGGGAGCTTTATATCGAGTTTCTGCAAAAACATGTAGACACGGATACCCGGAGGATGGGGTAACGATAGTCTGAGAGAGTACGATGTTTTGTGACTTGGGAGAAGAACTGCTTGGCGCGAAGGAATATTTAAAGCTGATACGTTCGCACCATAGAAGACGATTACAATATATCGCCTTCGTCACAGGGATTGTTCACCAGACTCAGCCAAGAGGCATGCAATCCGACTCGTGCGGTAAGCGCTGAGCTCGTCCCTATACTGGCATTGTGTATGGTATTCAATGACCGGAGGGTCGATGGAGACGCTGACCCATACACAATACACCCATAATGTTAGATAGGACTGATGATAGTCCTATATAGGCGCAAAAGACATGCCTGCGCCCCATGATCTGCTAATAACGGTGCGAAGGAGATTCAATGGTGATACCCAGCGACTATTCAAATTTTGAATGTGCTTTCGCCATGTTAAACTCTTGTCGAAAGTCAGGCCAAGGAAAGTGGCAGATTTGACGAAGTAAAGTTGATGGACCCCCCCCCCCCGAAATATCTGGATAATTATGGAGGTACTGAAAATGCAACTGGGTTGGGAGGTGCAGAACTTGAATCCAGTTTTATCACTCTATTCTTGCAGTTTGTTGAGGACAAGCTGTAACTGCCTCACAATAACTTGCATGCTCTTCGAGAAGCAGAATTTGGCTAAGTTGTCAATGAAGAGCGAAGCTTTCCCAGGGTCTCGACTTACTGATGCGATACTATTGCTAGCAATGGCAAAACGAGTGACACTCACAATTCATCCCTGGGAACATCGTTTTTAGCAGGTGAATTAACAGTAATGTGCCACCGAGACGGCGCGGGAAGATCATGACGAAAGAAAATGTACTAAAAACAAATGGAGCCGTCTCGTAAGGACCCAAGAATGTAAGGAACGAAAAATGACGTACCCCCAGAAGATGTCATGGGATTTCTCTATGTCGAAAACATTTGCTACTAGGTGTTGTCGCAGCACGAAAGAAGTGGAGATCTGTGTGGCAAGGGAGACTAAGTGGCCCATGGTTGACCTATGCTTCCTGAAACCACTCTGAAAAGGTAAATAGATTCGTTTGTTCCAGGAGCCAGACGTTGTTTACCATTCGCTCTAAGAGCTTGGACACAGTTTGGTAACGAGACTGGGCGGTAACTTGCAGGGATTGTTCTGCTCTTTCCTTCTTTAGGGATTGGAATAACAAATTGCTACACGCCAAATCCTTGGTAACAAATGCTCATCCCAAATCAGATCGAAAATGCGGCGAAGAAAAGAACGAACATTTTCCGGTAGGTGTTTAAGCATTTGATTATGTACCTAGTCTGGTCCTGCAGCAGAATCGTTTGCGCAAGTAAAAGTACAGGAAAATTATCCATGAAGAAAGAAGCATTGTAAACTACTTCCACGAGACTCGAGAAATCTGGTTTGCAGTTCTCCATTTTTTGGTCTTCGGAAAGCTAGGAGAGTAATGTACGGGGTTGGAGATATGCTCGTAGTGAAAGGCCAATTCTTCAACTATATCTGTTGGCTAGTAGAGGAGATTTCCAATTAATAGAATAATAAAGACAGACGGCGAAGAAAGTCTTCCACCGATCTGTCGAACCTTTCGCCACACAACTTTAGGGGTCGTACGGCAAGCGAGTGATGAACTATAAGTTCTCCAGGACTGCCAACTGAAAAAAACACAAGTTTCTGTGACACGACGTGGGCATGAGGAATGTATACATTGCACACCGTTAGCCGGATATAAATGCATATATTGCACACAGGATAAAAACTGCGTACCGCGTCACTAACGTGGGCGCGGAGTCCGTCATCTTGATCAAACCAATAGAAGTCAAACGAAAATGATGAGGGTGGGGATGATGGGGAAGAAGAATAATTTCCTGAAGACAGGCTAGAGATAATATTGAGGTCTAAGGCGAGAAATTATCAATCTTAATTCTTCTGAATGTGCACGAAATCCGTCTAAATTCCACGAAAGAGCCATTGTAGGGAATTACTTTATTGGCTTTTTTCTTTCTCGCCTTTTGAAAAATTGTAGAGGAACTCTTGTGGTGCTCGTCAACAGAGTAATTCTGACTGCTGCTAGAGATGATCGCTTGTGACCGGGGAATTTCCCGTTTTTTTACCACAGGCGACCGAGATGTCCTTGGGCTAGAGGATTGCTCAATGCGAGTCTCAGAAGTAGTAAGAAGGCAGGACTTCGATAAAGAACTTTTGTCCAGAAGCGATACCTGACGGGAATCTATTTATTTAAGGTACTCAGTAGAAGTAATCTGTGTCTGGTGGAGTTTTTTGGCTTGGATTTTTAAACTTTATGTGTATTATTACCTTCCCACCTTGGCTGTACGCCGTATCTTCAGGGAAGTCTATATGCGACACCTGACAACTGAAGTGCCCTACTAGAGCAGGAGCATGTCGTGTTTGACAACTTGCTGTTACCCTTGACGACTTTGTCTTTAGGGTCCTGGAGAAGGATCGTAATAGGCCTACTGGATTTCTAGCCTAATGCCGGCGTTTGGCCTCAGGAAAGGAAATCTTTTCGGTGACTTATCTTCTGAATCTCTCTCTTCCGGAGAAAGGTAGTTTGTGGTGTGGTTGTAGTTGGTTATCTTCACAATTGACACAGTGCGGTGGTGTAGCGCAGGGATGTGGATCGTGCACCGCAGTTCCTGCACACTGGGCTTACCGACATACATCGTTGCTCGGTATGCCCAAACCTTTGAAACTTAAAAAAGCACTAAGGATTTTGTACGCGCTGTCGCAAATGGAAGTTGTAGAAACCACAACTGATCCTTCCCGGGAGGGACGGGCAATCAAACGTAAGGATCAGGTTTGAAGTAGATATCACATTTCCCTGCTCTTTTATTTTGATCCCATACACTTCAACCACGCCCTGACTCTTGAAAAATGTTATTAGTTCTTCACTTTCGGAAGAAAAGTCTTCGTGATTCGTCACTACCACCTGGAAGCCGGCATTTCATTAATTTCTCTATTTGCTCCTCGGTGTGTGCTTCAAAGACAATTGTTCCATTTCTCTCTGTCGCACGACCGCTTGGAGTTTCCGTGTGATTCCTCTCTAGCTTGTGCCAGACGGACGGCACTTACGGTGCGCATGGCGAGAGGAAACGAGGCTTTTTCGGTTTGTCATCTTTTGCAGAAAAGCTATTTAAATTAACAGTTTGTTCCACACATCACCTCTTCCTTGCAGAACAGGGCAGGGAAGAAGGTTTAATATCCATGGAGATGGATATAAGATTCATCTTTGTGGTCCCCACCCACCGCGGAGTTCCATAAGGAGACACTCCATCGGAGTGCCAGGGTTGCCAAAGAGATATAGAGGGGGATAACAGCGCAATCCTGCCGTGGATTCCCACGGTCACCCTGGAGTGCACTACAAGACCCACACCGAGCCGATTTATCGGGAGTGGGTTAGCTCCCGACTGCCCGTCTAGAAGAGTCCGAGGACATAGCAAGTGTTGAAATCCTACAAAGAATGTTCCCCAAAATACGTAAACAAGGTACCCCTATGTGCAAAGCAGAAAGTAGCACAAGGAGAAGTTTGGGAAAAAACAGGTTCCTCAACTGCCAGGACACACTTTCCCTCTCACACGGGTCGCCATCCACGCCAAACACATGGGCGGGCGTTCAGCAAAGAGGAGGGCCAGTGAGTTAGAAGGTGTAGAAGAAAAGAGACAGCATGTTATAAAAAAACGAGAGTGAACGATGGGGAAGATCAAGACGATTGGCGAGAGACTCGTGAGGACGTGGACCGACCTACCTCGACGGAAATAGTAGCAGAGGTGATTGCAGCATTGCAAATTTGGGATGTCACTACAGCCTATGCAAGGATATATTCTCATTGATCTTTGCGGTAAATTTGGGTCATTCACAACAGCAAGTTAATCTTCGTAATTGAAATAGTAGCTAAAAATACATTATTCACACAGTTTATCATTAAACATTAATGTAACTGTTTCTAAAATAAATCTAATTTGTATAATTAATACTTCTAATTGTAGTAAGATGGGGCACTTGGAACAGTTTGCTCATGTGACCATGTTTTAAAATGTAAATCATAATACCAAATGTATGGCTTACTTCATATGCAAATAAGCTAGTCAGAAAATATAAAAGGAAATCAGATCAGTTTTCCAGTTCCGAAGAGGACATGTCTGCTGCAGTTGGAGGACAAGTGTTTAATCATGTTTTTCAGCAAGTTTCATGAAAATTTGTTGAGAAATATTATCTCAATTACAAAACCATTTTCAACCGTCCAAAGGAGCCCCCAATATACCCTACCAAAAATATTGAACGCAAGAAAACGACGATTAACAATATAGTATCTTATAAATATTTTTAAAAACTACAATGGAATCTACTTACTAGTGCACTTAAATTCATGATGAGGTAGCTCATAAATTTGAACGTCCTTCACTCGTGGAGGGGAATAACATCTTGGGCTTCCGGAACTCAGGTTTCGTTTGCGCAGCCACTCAGCGAACCACGCCAAATGACAATTGCAGTTGAATGGGTTATACAGCAAATTGCTTCACAAGAAAATCCACATGAATTAGTACATACATATTATACTTTATATATAAGTACACATACAGGATGTGCTGGGGGAAACGTAGAAACTTCGAAAATAAGCTCTTCACGCAATTTTAAGCATATTTTATCTAATACACTACGTGTTATTCCGAATGTCTGAGCCGCAATAAGCACTCGGAAGTTGGTTTGAAAAAATTATTTCTAAGCAAAAAGTTGCATTATAAAAGCATAGAAACACTCCAAAAACATATAAATTGTTTATTATTTACAAAATAAATTAATGTAATAGTTTAGAAAGAAAAATTAAGCAAGAAATAAAAGAGCAATCGAATTGTGTAAATTGATTGCTTTTTTAATTTTGGGGTTATTTTTTCTTTACGAACAAATATATTAATTTCTTTTGTAAATAATAAACAATTTACTTGTTTCTGAAGCGCTTCTATGCTTTCATAATGCAACTTTTTGCCTACAAATAATTTTTTCAAGCCAACTTTTTAGTGCTTATTGCGGCTCAGCCAATTGGATTATCTACGTACTTTATGAGACAAAATGTGCTTAAAAATTGTCTTAGATTATTTTCGAAGTTTCGACGTTTCCTCCTCGGACTACCTGTGTATGTGTGTATACAATATTTATGCCAAAATATTGCTCATTTACTACAAAAATGACAATTTTCCAAGAAACATACAAACAATTTTTTTATTAGAAAATACGACACATCTAGTTTGTGGATACACAACAAACATCCACCACAGAATCTGCGCACCAGAGGGGGGGGCTGCGGCACGCATGCCGTGGAAGAAACACGACACTCTACCTTCACTGCAAAACACGTATTGATATCCCGATCGTGCTGCCTTCGAGCGAGCATCCGCGCCGAAAGGAATCTTTGACTGCAGAAAGGAACTCATCCCCTAATGATGGTTTTCAACCATCATGTGCGAATGGTGCGCGTTATTATAGGAGAAAATAAAGGAACTTTATATCATATGGTGAGGCAAAACAGGTGTTAACGATATGGTGCATTTGATGCATAACGATATGGTGTAATTAAAAACATTTGTGATGTTATAATTAAGCCTGAATTCAAGATGAATATTGATTGGGTAATCAAAACAAAAGGTGTTAAACATACTGTGTACTTGTAGATAATTGAAAACATTTGCGACGAAATAATTAAGAAGTCTGAATTAATGTGATCAATCAAAACATGTATTAGTGATATTGTCTATTAAAAGCGTTATTAAAAAAATTGAAATGATATCCTTGAAAAGCCTTGATTCATGTTGTCAATGAAAACGGATAGTATTAAAAATAATGTGGAATGGCCAGTCAAAGCAGATGGGTAATGACATTTGATAAAATAAGAGCCACTTGAGTTATTGAAAGTGCAGTCGGGTGTAATGTGGTAAATACGTAAGGCCTCCATTATGGTATTTTTCACTTCTATTAAATGATTCGTAAGTGGATTTCAATCTCATAAAAAAGGGTAGTGATTTTAGTGATTTAATTTCGCACTAACCAAGAGAGCACAGTCTCCTGGAAATCCATTAGAATTTATACAGTTATATCTTGAAAAAACTAAATACAAGAAAAAAGTCTTATTTTCTTTCATTTGGCAAAACAGAACTAAAAGGGATATTGATGGGTAGTAGCTTCATTAATTCCTCAGAAACATACTAGCGAGTCTTTGCCGCTGTTATTTTGTATTGGGAAATTTGATATCCACTTTATAAGTAGAGGGTGGATTTTAATGTAATGTTATTTTTTCCTTATCGCTTTAAAAATGTAGTTTAATACAGAAATTAATTTCATGTTACGACAAACGGAAAATAGCAATTTTTATACGTATTTTTCGCATTTTTGGTCGATTTCGACTAATACGTCATGTTTAGCCTTTTTCGTAACTTTCAATGCCATTTTAATGGTAATTGCTTTAAATAATATTTACGAGATGCAACAAATGTTCTCCACAGAATTTCTAAGTACCTATACAGTATTCGATTTCTTAGAAGCTGTAATGTCAGCCACTGTGAGTAGTAATCTAAGGATCCTGTCACGTCTGTCAACGCTTTTGGCGGTTCAGCCGATTTCGGGCTAATGTCAGAGAAATGGGTTGTGAATGTGGTTCGCGCGGGAAGAACGTTCGCGAAGTCCGCGGCAATATACGACGAATATTACGGCGATATAGGACGAATACATGAGATCTAATTTCAGTTATTCTATATAACTATACGGTGTAATTAGCATCATATAAAGGATCTTAACCTCCTCCAGAAAAGGTAGAATAGAATGCTAGTTACACGTGTACCAACTTAAGAAAGTAACCAGTGCGGCCAGTGACAAGGGCAAGCAACTTAAAAAAGCATTAAGTGGGAGCGGAAGACAGGTACAATAGACAACCAGCGACACCTATTAATAGCGATCAGAAACCGTCACAGCGAGCGTACACCAAACTGCCATATTTGGAGCCCGACGGAAACATTGCAAATAAGTACCTGCAACTAGGCGGCAAATTTAAAATATAATTCGACATTATGGCGGCCAGAAGCAAAAAAAATGTTCCAAAATACAAACACAACCGCTTCGAAAAAACAAAGTTCCACAAAAGTTGATGACAACAGCACAAACTCACCACTCTCTGATATCCTTTCTAACCTTAAAAAATTGAGAAGGCAGCATGAGGATTTTAGGAAAGAAGCGAAAAGACAAAATCCAAAGCACAGACAAGAAAGTAAAAGATAAATGTGTCACATTGGAAAGCAACAAATGTTGCCAACACAACAAATGAAAAAACGAAACAACCTGACATTAAAAGCCTGTAAGATTCGGAGCAAAGAAGGCAAAGAAGTGAAAAAAGGAATATCATTATCATTAAAAGCTAAAGAGCGAGGACTCGCTAAACACAATGAATACGAAACTTACAGGATCCTAATGAAAATAAACTACAATGACTACTTCAACAGGGCAAGCTGAATAAGCAAAGATAGGGCAGAGAAGTGCGTAGAATGGGTGTACCTTAATCGATTTTAAGATAAAATTGCCATCATGAAGAATAAAAACAAAATAAAGGGTCAGGACTGCTTCTTTGACGATGACTTAACAAAAATGAAACGTGAAGTACAGGCAACCCTCAGACAACGCGCAAGGGAAGAAACAGCGAAGGCAGGTAGCAACATTGTTAAAAGTTGGTTATCAAAAAATAATGATCAACAATCAATGGGTAAACTGCCTCTAGACAAAGTCGTAGCCACTATCAAGAGTACAGGACCTAGAGCAAATACGAACAAGGAAATTGTCATAGTATTTTTAAACGTAAGAACAATGAGAACATACGAAAGAGATGAAGAACTGGATCAAGCTCAAGAAATCTAATATGACATTTTAGGCCTTAGCGAAATAAGACAAACAAGGGAAGCTATAACAGAACAGGAGAATGGCAATTTATTCTGCTACAAAAGGGACAACAACCGGGCAGTAAGGAGTAGGCGTAATTATTAAAAGGAATATAGAACACACGGTACGGGAATAACACGTATTTCAGAGAGGATAACGGTATAAGTCATAAATACAAAACGCTCCAGAGTAACAGTCATCCAAGTATATGCTCCCACAGAAGCCAGAAGCGAACAAGAACAAAAGGACTATTATAAACAGTTGGAGACGACATTAGAGAAGTTGAAAACACGAACCAATCTCGCTATAGGCGATTTCAACAGCAAAATAGGATGGAGAGCTCTGGAGGAAGAAAAACATTCGAACCTTACGGCTTTGGAGTACGCAACGGAACAGAAAGGCTGATACAAATCGCACAAAAGCGAAAACTTTTAATATCCAAACATTCGTCAAGAAGAATTCACGGGATAGATAGACATGGCAGTCACCAGGCGGGAACTCCCACAATGCAATTGACCACATACTAATCGATCAAATAAAGCTTGAAAAGACGTACAGGTGGTTAAAAATGTTTGTTTTGAGACTGACCACAGAATGGTGCGCACAATACTACAGTTCAACAAACGAAGTTACCGCGCGAAATCGGAAAGATAAAAAATAGAAAATCTGAACAAGAACAAGTTTCTAGAGCAACTGGAAAACGAACTGTCACATGATAACTGCATAGCTGATATGGGAGTAAAGCTATACAATCCACCAGATAAAAAATCCTAAGAGCGGGTAATCAAAGTTCCATACGCTTGACATCAACGACAACTAAAAGACACAACCGACCATCTAACTCATAAAACACAGGGAAACACTAAAACTTACAAACGCAAGCACGGCCAAATTAAGGAGTGAACTTGTACTGTTGGATAAACTCACAAAACGCGAAATTCGCAACGATATACGAGATCATCGAAGTACAATAACGAAGTAAATATTTGAAGAGCCCAAGTCAACAAAGAAGGCGAAGAACTATCATACCAGAGGGGGGGGGGAAATGGGTGCTAGGAACAAAGAAACCATCAGGCAATTACACAACGACGACACATTTTAGATGAAGCAACAACATCCTATGAAGCACTGCTCACGAGTTCTCTTCAAACTACACTAGCTAGAAGCCGCAAACTAAGTCTTCAGGAACGCATTCCTCCTAGTTTGCCGTTCGAATAAGCGCAATTGCAGAACTCAAAAACGCGCAGACTCCAGGAGAAGACGGAATGTGGAACGAATATCTTAGACATGGCATGGAACTTCTAGTGCAACCCATCACAATAACTTTCAACAAAATGCTGTCCACAGAAATCATACCAGAACAATGAATATGAAGCACCATCATTCTATTACACAAGAAGGGACACAAAGATGACCTAAACAATTACAGACCCGTAAAAATCATGTCAAATATCTATAAATAGTTTTCGAAGATATTAACAAGAAGACTAACACAGAGACAAGACGAGAATCAGCCATGTGAACAAGTACGTTTCCGCTCAGGATTAAGCAAAGTAGACCACACCCAAACGATCAACCACATGATAGAAAAGATAGAAGA